GGGGGGGCAAAACGGGGCACAAAAGGTTCTAATGCATGGGGTGTCATGTAATGAGTATGAAGGAAACTGGGCTGGGGACTGACTGATGATATGATTACGGGTTTATTTTCACTATTCAACTGCGGGCAGATTGGGGCAAGGAATGAGGAAGAACAGGCACAAGCGATGAGAAAGGAAAAAGCACACGGTTAATGATAGTGGTAAACGAGTGATTTCCTCGCGTTTATTTTATTTTTGCCGGTGTCGACACGGCATACATGTCGCAGGGAGATGCAAATAAAACACGAAACCAAGCAGCCAGTAATAAAGCAAAGATTGACTGGATTTTCATAACTACTAGCGACCAAACACACAGCCCAGCTTCCATCCTCCTCGCTCGCTATCAACGGCCGGCGACCTCTTTTCAGAAAGACTTTTCAGAAAGAAAGAACCAGCCTGCTGGACAGTATGGAAAAGAAGTCCGAGGGAACGACATGGGGTATTGGAGGGTGAAGGTCGGAGGCGTCGTCGCCCACGACCGCGGTCAGGCCGTTTTTGCTGAGCGCCAACCGCCCCCAACAGCCATTTCTCTCATGTCTTGGGTGAGGCTAAATAGACCAGAAATTAAGGCTTGGAGAATATTGAAATCAAGCACTCGAGCGCTCTCTACAAGTAACCATGTAGATAATCTAGGTCAGGTAGTCGATAGACACGTTCAAAGCCGACATGGCCCAACTTCCTGGCGCTAAAGATTGACCCGTGACGAACCTTCATTCCAGCTTCCCAGTCCAGCCGCCAACGACGTCCATGGTCAAGCAGGGCAGCGAATGAAAACGCCGCCGGAACCGTTTCGGGCCATGGATCGAGCGCTGACGCGCCATCAAACAAACGAATGGCTCGGGCCGGTTTGTCGCAATCGAATCACCCGCCGTCGTGGTGGTGGGGTGGATACAAGAGAGGCCCAGAAAAAGGCCATCCATCGATCGATCCCGTCAGCCATTTTGGGGGCGACGGGAAGGGTGTCTTGGTATGTAACCTATCACGGACATCCAAGCAGGTAAGCAGCGACGGAATCATGACGGGACGGCGGCTGTGACTGGCCGCACTGGATTTGCCGCCGCAATTTTGATTTGCCCGTCCCGCCTTGCTATTTCCGGAGTCCGCGAGCCCGAGCTCCAGGGCAAGGACGGCACAGGCGCGAGGGAAGGGCTGGGACTGGCGGATAAACTGCCTGCGCTCTCGCTTCATTCCAACTGCTGTCGTATTATCTGCCAACAAACTTTGCTCTCTCAATTCTTCAAAAAGTCTCCCATCCTGCTCCTTTTCTGTTTAGGTTTTGCGTTTTGCTCTTCTGTCCCGTCCCACGTCTTGCAACTCCTCAACCGCCCTTCTCTCATCCCCAGCACGAGCACGTGGACCCGCGCCCGCGACGTGTCGAGCGCTTCTCTACTCCTCCTCCCGCCCACAAACCGAAGCCGACGAGCAGAGAGATGGGCATAGAAGGCCATCCGCCTGTGGTCTGGTGTCGCACAGCTCTGTTGGTGCCCACACCTGTTGGTGCCCACACTTGCATCACCATCGATATCCACCCATCCATCCTTTTTTTTTTTTTTTTTTTTTTTTTTTTCGGACCCCTCCTCTCGCTCCACCTCCATCTCACCTTGGGCGAAGCGTGGGTTGTTGGTGTGCAAGCAGGCAAAGCCACTGCCGCAAAAACGGCCGCAGGGTCTTACCTCCGTGGTACAAAGGAGGAAAACCGGCCGGGAAATAAGAAACCGTGAAATTAACTCGCACACAAAACGGCCCCCGAGGCGTAAGAGTGTGCTTGCCTCGCTGAGCAAACAAAAAGGACGGCAGCCCTCCTTCTCTTTCTCTCATCCCCGCCGATTTCCCCTTTCAGCTCTTGCTTTTTCAACTCTTGCTTTTTCAACTCACCCCCACCAACACACGCATCCAGGGCGCGACGAGGGCAGGTCGAGGCTCCTTCTTTATTCCCCGGGACCCCTCAATACAGGCGTCTACTCGCCTCGGCCTACAAACCGCCTAAATATCGCTCCCGCGTCCGCTCGCAGTGGCCAAGTGTGGCCACCGCATCCTCGGAAAGGCGTCAACAAATATCCGGCCGACTTCCACCCTCTCCTGCCCGCCGTTTCCTCCGTCCTCTTTTCTCATCCAAGGCGCCTAGTGTTGCTCACCTCTACCACTCCCCGACCGAGTCGCCGCATCGCCAGCCAGTTACGCATTCATTGGCAAAACGGTTTGATGGATATTTCATTTGTTATTCTTTGTTTCTTTTTGTTGCTATAGGCTACCGATGCCATTGTTACCTCCACCGGTGCCGGGGAAAACAAGGCCGACTGCACTGGATATCCTCTCCAAAAAAAAAAACTAACCCGTCCCGGAACAAGACAATATGATATAAGTACAAGATTTCCAACCGAGGGAAGGAACATGATGACCCGCAAAGGGGCCAGTGCCCCGGCTCTTTTTTCCGCCTGACGGGCCACGTATTGCTGCCGTCGGATGTCCAAGCGACGTGAGAAGGAGACGCATCAAGATGAATGATGAAAAACCAGAGATGAGGAAACGAGAGAGAGAGAGAGAGAGTGAGAGAGAGAGAAAAGAAAAAAAAAAAGAAAAAAGACAAAGAGGTATGCTAACCCAAAAAAAACCGGACCCGATACCAAAAATAGACAAGGAAAAAAAGGAAACTACGTGTTAGTA